ATTTGTTTGTAGAAAAGGGCTGGCAGAATTACAATTTAATAAAAAGTAAAACATCTGGATACGAGTCCAATTTTTCTTGCCATGTCTAATCACCAGGAACAACTATTCCCATTGCAGAGACAACCTTTCTTTAGAGGCTATGCCTCTGCACAAATATGTAAAACAGTTTAAAATGTCCACAGGTGACAATCCCAACACAATTAAAAATATAATATTTGTTTGTAGAAAAGGGCTGGCAGAATTACAATTTAATAAAAAGTAAAACATCTGGGTATGAGTCCAATTTAAATTTATAAAATTGGACTTATAAAATCCTTTTTATTAAATTGTAATTCTGCCAGCCCTTTTCTACAAACAAATATTATATTTTTAATTGTGTTGGGATTGTCACCTGTGGACATTTTAAACTGTTTTACATATTTGTGCAGAGGCATAGCCTCTAAAGAAAGGTTGTCTCTGCAATGGGAATAGTTGTTCCTGGTGATTAGACATGGCAAGAAAAATTGGACTCGTATCCAGATGTTTTACTTTTTATTAAATTGTAATTCTGCCAGCCCTTTTCTACAAACAATTATACAGATTAACTAGTAAACTGAAAAGTATTGAGATTAACCAAAATAATCCTTAAAATTTAGGATAACAGCAATGAAAAACAGTAATATAAATACAAAATAAAATTTTGATGCTGCCTCACAATGTATTGATCATGTGAAAAAAATTGTAAGATTTTATGTATATTTTTTATGCTAAACTGATGATCCAGCCTTGCTATCATAAAGTATCTCAATAGAAAAGGTTAGTAGTTAAAGTAAATTCCTAAATAGTTTCATTATTAAGATCAAGTAATTTACTGATTTTGTATATTATTGCTGTTGATCTGTAAATAAAGAACACTGAGTGTATACCAAATGATGATAATATAATCATAACAGTTTTTGTATATAAAATCATATCAACAAATATACTTTTGAGTAGTAATTAGGAATTATTATATGTTAATAAATTATCAAAATATTTTTACATATTATATATATATTTATAAGTATTATTGATTTTTAATTTTCTATGTTTAATTTAAACAGGCTGCAGTGTACAGAAGTGGATATAACAGATTTACACCTTATTAGAATGATCATAAATTTTTATGAACGAAAATTCAGTGATACTTGCTACAAGTCATTACAGAATGACAAAAAACTGCACAGTATCCCATATTGCCTTTTAAACCATACTAACTTGATCTTTAGATTGGAATTTACATTTTAATATTGTTTGATATCAATAGTAGAATATAGAATAGGCAATTTCATTCGTACATGAAAGAAGAAAGATAAAAGCTATTTTTTTAGGTTCTGACATTTTTAATGACAGGTAAATAATTCATTTTGTAAATTTTATAATGAATTAAAAAAGCAAGAGATGAAAGAATCTAAGTTTCAAGTTTGTATGGGAAAATATTTGCACACTACTTTCACTATTTATTCTTGCTCCGTTTTAAGAGATTGCACAATTTCTTACTTATTTGTAGTAGTAGTGTGGGTAATATGTTAAATATTTTCCCACCTGATCATACACAAATTATTTAAAAGACAATGAATTCAAATGATTTTGATATAGCTTTTTTCAACGTAAAATTATGCTCGGTTAAAACTGAATTAGTGTTTAATATTTGAACAATTGACTTATTATTATAATGTAAAGTATTATTGTCCCTAGTCTTTTGGACATTACTAAATGTTGTGGCTTTGTAAATCTTGCCATCTTTTATGTAACTTATCATTTTTTCCCAAAATGGGAATACTGTTGTTATTGAAAACTGACCATTGTTAAAATGTTCATATCTTAAGAACTATTGCAGGAAAATGGCTTTTGCTCTAGTTGTTGATGGGCAAATAGAAACATCAGCTTGTTCAGCTGTTCTTGAGCAAAAATCATTTTTTCTTGTAAATTACCATTTGTTGAATTTTTTTTTCGTTACAGAGCTTTAATTCATATCATACGATCATTCGAGAATCTCATTTCATTCTGTCAAAAACATTGTTTTGAAACATGAATATCGCGATAGGAGTTTTGGCTGATTTATTCTTGTACAATGTGTAGCTCAATGTTTGTTTATAAATGGCAGCTGTTGTCACGCAGCTTTTTAAGATCATCTGTTTCCAAAAACATGTATTTGTAATGTAATGTAATTGAATATTAAATTACCAATATGGGAAAGATTATTGTAGAATATCTTTCCAAGTGGCACATTTTAACGCAGACTATTATATAAAAAAAATTATTTTATATTTTTTGTAGGTAAGTTTTCTTATTTAGAAAACTTGGCTAATAGGACTATTTGTAAATTTTATTGATGATTAAACTCATTTGGTAACTATATAGCAGAGCACCGATTATCCACAGTAATTGGGGCGGGACAATTTCGGACAACAGATCACATTTGGTAGGAAAAGAATAAAAAATAAAAAAACTTAAATAAACTATTAATTCTAGGATGATAAAAAAATGTTAAACCATAGAAAAGTACTGCTTAGAAGACTGTGACTTATTAATCCTGTTTTTCTATTTGCTCTACAATAAATAAAACCTAAAACTTGTGTTGATAGAGAGATCCAGAAGATCGTTATTGTGTAAAAACTTTGTAATGTTTGGAATTAAATACTTTCAAAAATTGATTTCGGATAATCGACACTCTGCTGTAATTGTAATTTTATTTATAGTTATCATCACTGAAATGAGCAAAAGTATCTTTTCATTAATTGAAAACGTTTTAAATTGAACTAGAAATTTTTATTTATAAGTGAAAAAATTATATATATATGTATTTAAAGAAATTTATTTTCATTCACCACATGGTATTATTTGCATGCCAGTAAAATAAAAGTGCATGTCCTGAAGAAACAGTATTATTGCAGAGAGAAGTGATTGATTATTGTGCACTTTATGATATAAAAATAATCTGTAATCTAAATTCATTTGTGGATACAAAACAAAAACTAGAGCCAATATCCAGGAATTTACTGGATCAAGATATATATATACTCATCTATACAATATATGCCCTCCATAATTATTTTCAGGTATTTTTTTTTATTCTGTTTGAATTGTGGATTCAGTAATTGTGTTTAGATTTTTTATAGCATTGTTAATGTGTCAAAATGGCCTTGTTGCTGTTTTATGGAACCTTCCATCATTGTTTGTGCTATGTTCTGTAAAGTGGTGGTATAAGTTAATGTGTCACAAAATTTTTATTTATTCATGCTATTAAAGCAACAAAGGTTATTGTACCGTCTGTTAAATATTTGAATCTCGTTATTTACATTCTGTAAACACTATGATGGAGTATAATGTATCAATTGTCAATAATCTGTCAAAATAAAAATTCTCATTATGTGATTAGCTTCTTTATTTTTCATTATTTAAACTTCTACTGTAAATTACGAATTACAAATACCGATGTATTGAACGAAAGTGAAATAAAAGTTACAGTTATATTAATTCTGCTTAAAAGCAAAGAATCATAGCCAGAGTTGCTAACAAAACTTTTTACGATGCACTAACTTCTAAGTTTTAATATAGTTAAAAAATCGGTAAAACTAACACGAAAATCTCTAAAATTGGAACTCTGAAGTAGATGGAGCTTTGATTAAATAATTTTTAAGTTTCGGATTCGTTTAGTTTTCTAGGAAAAGGAAACTGAGGAACCCGCAGAGTAGGGTTTTCTGTTTTGGTTTCATACGTAAACACACGTAGTAACATGCTTTTAGCGTTCTGTCTAAAGCAGCTAAAACACTCAAGTTCTGAGGAGGACGTTCGTGTTCAACGTTATAACCGACAAAAACGTCAAATATCGCTTAAAACGCAGATATGCGACCGCGGGCCAAGCGTATGTACTGTACATCGTAAAGATCAAAATAAAAGATTGTCGTAGAAATTAATATAAATTGACATCAATCTGAATCTCGATTGGCATGTAGTGGGAGACTAGATTACGACCGTCAATCTGCCCATAGACTTTACGTGGCAAGCTTTAACATCGAATACCTCAGCCTACAGTGGCGGTTGCTTTAAATTTCGATGATAGACAAAACATTTTCTGGCTTATGCAGAGTTTCGTTTACGATTCGCTCAACAAACTGAAATCTTTATAAATTTGTTGCTGAATGAAGTGCTGAACTACGTATTAAGATCTGAAGTCATTGTGTACAATTAAAACAGAATCTATTAGTTTGTGTAGAATGATTTGATTGTTGAGTAGCCGGTCAGCCTGTAAGTGAACACATATAGGCCTATATTTAGTATTAAATCATCGATAGGACCAAACTATCAATTTGCTATCAATATATTCGAAACCCAATCCCGATAATGGTATCGCTAGTTCTGCAATCATTATCACATATCTCTACTTCGAATTTCAGACCTACAAGTCATCAAAAATTTTAACTTTAGAGAATTTCTCGTTTTAACAATTCTTAGAAAGCAGTCCCTTGTCGGTTTCAGTGTCTAGTTTCGCATTTATTATATTATTTCTGCGTGTTTTATAACAATTTTTTTGGATATGCTATATAAAATCCAGCAACGAATTGCTTAACTTTCCTGGCACATTTAAAACTTCGTGTGTGGCACCATCTGTTATTATATTTTATTAAAAACATTTTAACTATTATAAAATGACAAAAAGCTTAATTTGAAGGGTAAAAGCTTAATTTGAAGGGTAAGGATGGATTTTATAAAAAAAAAAAAGTGTAAATGCTATTAACGAGTAAAATTGTCATTCAGTCCGACCCTACTGGAGATACGACACACGACTCCCTTTTATCTCCCCACACCGTTGTTCTTTAACCACAAAATTTAATAGCATCAATCCTCTAATACATAAACCTCCCTGCAAAATTTCAGAAATTTTCGACAAAAAGCACTGGAGATTAAGTTTCAAAGAGGGTGAACACAATTGTGCTACACACACACACATAGTAACATCCATACAGTAAAAAAAAAAAAAACAGAATATTTTTGTATTTCTCGACGTTTCAAGATCTTGAGTCCAAAAATATAAAAATCTTGGAGGGTCGTTTTCTGACCGATCGCCGTACTTTTCCTCTGTTATATATAACAGAGACAAGTAAAATTTCCTCAATATCGTTTCTTTCTACTTCGCCTTAAATGGCTATCAAAATAAAAATTTATAATAAAAAACTTTATTGATTTAGCTTTCGTCTTTACAAAGGGGAAGGATGCAAGCAATTCCATAAATACACAAAACAAAATGAATGTCTTATACGTAAATGCGATGAATCTGTATATAAAACAATCCTTATTTGTGAAGATTATTATTTATACAAAGTTCGTTAAATAAAATTAGTAACTAACATTATATTTTAGTAGAATTAGCGAATCTTGAAAATATTTGCATATCTTTTGTAAAGTGATAGAAATTATTTTATCACCAAACAAAGAATAAAAGTTAAATTGCTATCTCAGTAAAGATTCTTTTCGATATTCAAGAGGTTAGCATGGAATAAATACAGTAGAGCATCGATTATCCGACTCAATTGGGGGACGGGTTGGTCGGATAATTGAAAAGTCGGATAACCGAAAAGTATGAAAAAATCCATTATTAGTGTAGTATATTATTATATCCCATGTAATTAGTATATCGCTNAGTATTTTTTAAATTTTGTTTTCTAATTTATTTTATTTTATCCGACATGTATTAAATTATACTTCATGATAAGAATTAAAAAGTAAGAATCTTATCTTAACAGGAATCAAATAATTTAAAAATGATTTTATTTTATATAATATAATAACAAGAAAAAAATTAATTAAATTTGAATAATAATTAATTATTTATGATTCTACAAGAAATTCTTTAAAGATTTTTAGATATAATAAATACGAGTAAATGTTTAACTTATTTAGAAATAAACAAACAATTAATTAATTGTTTGCTTAATTAATTTAGAATTATTATTCATATAAATTATGAATCGCTGAAAAATCTCATAAATATTTTGCTTCACGAAATCAATTACGCAAGTGTAAATGAAATTTTAAAGCCCTTCAGGACGTCTCAACATGGCGATTTGGACTTCACATTAGTTATAAATAATTGATTTCATTGTATTTCTTGTGTAATAAGAACATAACTTTTTAATTTTATAATTTAAAAATAAAATGAAATTATAACTATAGGCCTAATATATTTTAGGTCTTAAAATGTTTCTCTGGCATCTTAAAACTGTTTATTACTCCTCAATGATTACAATACAAGGAAAAGGTGTCATTGATTTTCTTTTCTACACCATTTTCTAAGTTCAGTTTGGAACTGTTACTCTATTAATATTAAGACATATATAAAATAAAATATAAAATTATTATTAATAAAATTATAACTTTTAATTAATTTATTATTCGCTACATAATCTTTTAGAATTAATAATAATTTAAATATAACTCGCTAATAGAAGTACTCGAGTCTTCAATTTATAACAAGATAGTTTAAATAGAACATTTTAATCAATAAAAAAATAAAAGGTAAAGTAAGAATTTTCATAAATTTTCGATGTATTTTTTTATATAAATTCACTAAGCGAAACACATAAACAAGTTCGTGATATTTGTCACTTTTCACATAATAAAATTACGAGGCAACGTCACTCAACGTCAAACTTTGTGACGTTATCGTAACACTAAAATTTGTGACGTTTTATAGAAATATCTCTCGCTCCCCTTTAAAAAAAAATAACCAGATACATATTTTGTACATTGAAGTCAACAACGCTGTTCTCTTTAAGAAGTTTGTCGCCATTATCTCAAGTACTCCACACACAACTGTGTGTGGAGTAGTTGAGATTTATCCTTTTAAAAATGTCAAAATTTATATAAAATTTTCTTACTTAATAGAAGCAAAGTTAATGAAGCAAAGAATGAAAACTTTGATAACAAGTAAATGCAATGGAAGTTTTCTTTAAAGCACTACTTAATTATATATAACATGCCACAGGCATTTACATATCGACAATACAAACATGTAAGTTATCCATTAACTAAAACTCTTATTATTTTGATAAATAAAATTTTTTAAAGAAGTAAAACTTTAACCGAAATTTATTTTATAAAATAATTAAATTCTTATCTAAAATTCTAAAAATTAATATTCAAATTAGTTTCAATTTTCTTGGAGAATTTTGAAACTATTTTATCTAGAATATTTTTGAAAAGAAGATATTTGATATTTAATAACATTGCAGATAAAATTAAAGTTTGTGTATCCTACAATGAGAAAATTTTAGAAAATTACTGAATTATCTACAGTTTTATTAAAATATTATTATTATTTTTTTCAGTATTCTAGATAAGTTATTGTTCATTTCAAAATTGCCGAAGAAATTTTGAACTAATTTGAATGTTAATTTCTAGAATTCTAGATAAGAATTTAATTATTTTATGAATTAAAAATGAAGTTTACTTATTGTAGAATATGAAATTCACTTAGTTTTAAAACTGAGTAAACTTTATAAGTGATGATGCCAGTAAGTTTTCCTTTGATTAATTCGTGATAAAATATTCAAAATTAGTTCTAGTTTCTAAATCTCACGTATTTTAAACAAATTTTTTAAGATTTCTGTTTAATAATCAGTAAAAACTTTTATTTTTTTTTTAAATTTTATTATAAAGAAAAATGAACATTTTGAAAATTACTCAAGCAAAAATTTTTCTTTTCCAACACGTCTGGAAAAATTAGTTGACAAGTCGAAGAGGATGCAAGAAGATGCAAAAAAAGAAGAAGAAGAAGATAAAAAAGATAATTAATTATTTTTATTAATATTTAATATCGATCCGTTATTATAAATTTCGTATTCAAGAAAAAAATTAATCTGTAAATTAATTATTTTCAAGACAAAAAGTTAATTTAGGTTTAGCAAAAATTGCCAAAAATTTATTTTGTTTTTTTTTCATTAAAAAAATAATTTCGATACCTTCGATTTTAATAAATAAAATATTATTATTTTTTTTCTTTAGATTTAAGAATAAATGATTAAAACTTCAAATTGATAAAATAAGAAAAATCGAGGAAATAATATTAATAATAACAAATAATAATAATCACTTGGGAAGTTTTCCGTCTTCGGGCTATCTACATTTTAGATAATCATGATCGAATGTTGGGGTTTTTTTTTGCTTTGTTCATCTTATTTTTTTATCTGTTTGCCAAAGGCAAGAACGGACAAAAGTCTCTTTTCCAAATAGATGGACTGTTTCCTTCTGGTTTCAATAAGAAGAATAATCGATTTGGGTGTTTTCTTTTTCTTCTCTCTTGAACTGATAAGACGAAGCGTTTGTAACAAGTGCTTCTATTTTTACTATCGACAGTGCTTTTTTAGTTTCTTGTGTAA